ACATGTAGTTTTGACTTCATAAAAAGTTCAAAGTGATTGCAAATACTTTTAAGGGTACTTCATTTAACATACAAAACAAAGGCATTTATAAAACTTTAAATAAACTCATTAGTCCTTAGAATTATGGACTTGAAGTAATTTCACTGAAACTTTAATTTTAATATGAAAGACAAAAACATTTATTAAAAGGTTTGGCATCAGGCAATAATGACACACATTTTTTTGTTAATTACAATGGTTAGTTCTTAGAAACAAAAGTTATACGCAGTAAATATCCTCTTGCACACAAATAAGAATCTCCAACTAATATGTTTCATATTTAGAAATGTTTAAATTTGACTTAATGATGACTCATTAGATAGTGACACCTTTACCTGTTATTTCCATTCCTCCAGTTCCTACTATAAGCACAACTGGCTGTAAGGAAAGTCAAATGCTTCATGACTGCTATCTCTGAACATTTACTTTCTTTGTAGTCTGCAATATATCATGTCTCTCCTTATAAAAGTCAGCACATTTAGGAATCGAGAACAGAAACTACATTTCGAATAATTAGCAGTAAACAGTATTACGCACTTTTTAAATAAACGCAGCACAGCCATTGGGTGTTTTTTCATCCTGAAAAGGAAATACACATTATTATTTGCATGATCATTGCTAATTCTGGAAAGTTCTGCAAATTTTTGTAAGTGTTTTCTAGAATAAAGTTGAAAGCAAAAGATAATGATTTCACAGGTTATCTATTTAATGACATAACTTATCCCAGGTGGCAAATAAGCAATACTGAGCTGACGAGTTCAAATGAACAGGAGCACCTTCTAGCCGACTTCTCACAGAGTCTCAGGCCAGTTCCTATGAAATGTTAGTGACTCACACCAGTGTGTTTGAGAAAAGCCCAGTGTCCCTAGTTCAGAGACATTTAAAGGATCTGTTATTTACAAATGTTTCTCAATCTTAAAGATTTCATTTTTTAATTAGGAAGATGTAGGTATGGTTACTAAATGTACAGATCTAATACTGTAGGTACAGTTACTAAAGAGCCACATTTCATTTTCATCACCAGCATTCTGTAGTATATGCTTTATTTACAATGTATTTTAGTTTTATGAACAAATAGAATGGAATACTATCCAAATATTACCCAGCTTTATTCATTATCTGTGGTAAAGTGATCTGCTGAAGACAAGAATTACATCTACTGAAAACGCTCTCCTGTTTCTTGTACTTACACTTCTCTCCATACTAATAGTGATTATTAAGAATTGTAACCTAGCAAGGTCAGTCTGCCTAAAATAAACATTTAAAAACTTAGTGATATTTTTTGAGTTTGTGATTTTACAAATTAATAGTAAGTTAATATATATTGAACCATACTCTGAAATAGTTAATGTATTTTTTGGAGAGCATCAGATGATAAGAATATGTGTGTATGGGGGAAGGAAATGGAGATGAGTAGATATTCACAGAGAAAAATTATTTTCCTAATAATATTCTTCTGTAATCAAATCTTCTGTTACCCAACATGTTCCTAGTATGACAATAAAGAGACATAATCAGTCCTCTGTGCTTTAAAAAGTTAATTTATTAAATTTTGGTCATACATAAAAGAACATTAAGCATTAGGCTTGCAAAGTACTTGCATTTCTTATCTAACATCTTTTAAGACAATTTGATTCATCTAAATCCACATATATGTTATGTTATTTTTATTTTTTTATTTTTTTATTTTTTTTACATATATGTTATTTTAAAATCAAAGAATATTAAACAAATAATTTCAGAAAACATTTAATATACAGCACTCCTCTGTCTAAAAATATTTTTAAAACATGAGTACTGACAAATTATTACCTATTTTAAATTGTGCAGCGTTTTTCTTGCATTAACTTTATTTTACTCTACAAGTAGTATAAACAAAATAAACATTTAAGCTAAAAAGTTCAAACATCCATGATCACTGACTTAGATAAATACAGTGAAGTAGAGTAAGTAATAATTGCTTTAGAAAAATACTAAAGAGTTTTATGTGATCATTCATTATAATTTAAAATAGTGCTACAGAAAATGTCATCTTGGCTTGCTAACTTTTTCTTAATTGAGTATGTGAATATGAATATCTAATTATGCAATGCAAGTAAATAATAGTTTGCAAGATTGGCAAATTTAACAGGTTAAAAAGTGCACATTCTAAGGGCATGTAATTCTTGTTCACATAATTATTGCCATTCTTTTACACTAAGATCAAAACCTAGATAAGTTTTGTGCTTTGGTCTTTGAACAGTTTTAAACTTCTACTGTTAAGTTAGAAGTCACTTGCAGAAAATGTTACTCAAATTATTTTTTATGATAAAATAAGCATAAAAAACCATGTTGATTTTCCATCACAAGACTCTGATGTTTTGTTTTCGTTCTACTGTTCATTCCTTTTAGGTAATCTTTCTCAACTATTTTATTTATTCTTAACTTTTCATTTCTAAATTCCAGTATACATTTCCAATTGTAAATTAATCAAAAATTGCAATGAAACGACTTCCTGTGTTCTTTGTGCCTTAACATCACAAAAGCATACCACTAAGTGGAATTTAAGAATATGGAACTTCCACTTCAGGCAACATGGTGGATTATGTTCAAGTATGAAAAGGGCAGACTATGCTTTGTGGTGGACTAAAGCCTAGGGCCCAGGTTGGGGATGTCTCTGTGTGTGCGTGCACGTGTGTGTGTGTGTGTGTGTGTGTGTGTGTGTGTGTGTGTGTAATTCAAGGCCTTGGCATAAAACCAAGAACTTGCAGAGACAACATACTTAGTAGGTGAACTAGAAAGAAACTTTGCTCCACGGAGTAAGACTGTCAGTATTTACCTGCCTCAGTCTTACCTGTGAGTAAAAATAAACAAGTGAACTCCCAAAAGTGTCTCCTGTCTATTCCTAATACTAGGGTTGCACTCTACCTGAGTTAGGGCTAGAAACCATATCTGTGTAGCCCTTCCTTCCCACTTCTAGATAATCAAGCTGAAATTTTGGGGTGATCTGAGTTTGGTAGTAATATCAGCAGTCTGACAAATGCAAATACAAATTCTCTCTTGAGTAATAAACTTTATATCTAGGTCTAAACATTTTTCCAGAGATAAAAATCCAAGGAGCATGGATTCAGTAAACAAACCATCCCAGGTAACAGTGACAGAAAAAACAAACACAAAAACTATAGAATTAGATCCACAAAACACCTAAGATTTGGAAATATAAGACACAAAATCTAAAATGTTTCCTTCATATAGTTAAATCAAAAAGGATATTGGGTATATGACAAAGGTACAAGATATTATAAAAAGTAACCAGCATATATGAAGAACAAAAGGGAATTCTCAAACTGAAAAATGTAATCATTGAACTTAGCAAACTCAGTGGAATGGAAAACCTGAAGATTGACAAGTTGGAGGCTGACACTCTGACTCAAAATCAACCTTTGAGACCCTACAAAATGAAGAGGATTGGATGGATCTGAGGATGGGACATAACAAATTTAGAACATCTTAGAGAGAATTAAAGTTATCATGGACTATAGGTATGTGTGTGGATGGGTGGGGGTTGGGGACAAGGTTTTTAGCAGCCCAGGGCTGAGGATGGTTAGGCACAGTAGTGGGAGGATAGGTGACAGAAGACCTTTTAAATTCTGTTTCGGCCTCTCTCCCACAATAAACTGTCCCATTGACAGTGTCTATCACGGGTAACTAGATCATTAAAACATAATGTGTACATATTATGGAGTGCTATGCAGCAGTTAGAAGCAATAGATTAAATATAGTATATACAGAAATATGAATATATCTTTAAAATCACAGAGCTTAAGGAAATTGGAAAAGATATAACTTACAGAAAATAGGTACTCACTGTATACTACATGAAAACATACACATACCAAGATGTGCACCAAACACATTAGAATATTTGCCTATTATACTAAAAAGGGGTATGAAAGTGGTGACTAGGGACAAAAGAGAATAAGTAAAAAAACCAGAGACGGTCTTTGTTAGAACCAATTATAATTGTATATCATGAACTAAAGAGTATAAGGAGAATGATCATGCAACCCTATGAACCTGAAGTGAAAACAAAAAGAAGGAAAAAACACAATGGATGAGTTGGGGAGAAGATTAAATATACAGTTCCAAGAATAAACTGGAAGAGATATCTAAAGAAATTATCTGGAGGGTAAGTTTGAGATAAAAAGAGTGGTGAGAAAAGGTCAAAGGATATGGCATGTCGAGTGAGAGGATCTCATGTAGAGTTTGAGAACAGTAACATTCACAGAAAGAATGGTTGAGAAGATTTCATACTTGATGGTAGACTCCCATGCTCAGACTCAAGAAGCAGCAGGATATTCAAGCATGAGAAATAGAAAGAAACTAAGAACATCAAAGACAAAGAGAACACATTAAAGTAGTCAGAGAGAAGAGACAGACCACCGAATGAATAATCACTCCCTAGTGGCTACCCTCCCAATAACAAGAATGATGCCTTTAGAATGGGCAATATCTTCAAAGCGCTGTGAGAAAATAACTGTCAATCTAGATTTGTGCATCCAGCAAAGCCATCTTTCAAGAATGAGAGTAAAAATAAAGGCACCCTCAATCAAGCAAAAATAGAATTTACACCGGCAGACCTTCACTAAAGGAATATTCAGAATATGTGCTTCAGAAAGGAGAAAATAAATGCTAGACTATCTTATTTACTTATTATGAATGATATTTTGCAATGTTATTTTTAAAGTCATTTTCCTTTTCTCAAAACAGTAGCAAATTTATGAAGCACAAATTAACTGGACTTTATTACCTGCCTTGCCTGCTTATACACCGCATCATCATTTATGTCAGATGCAAATCATGTGGTACTCTGATATTAGAAGCTTTGAATCACTGGGCTTAGTGGCACATGCCTGTAGTCCAGGTTCCCAAGGGGCAAAGGTAGGAGGATCACTTGAGCTCAGGATTTGAGACCAGCCTGGGCAACACAGCTAGATACTGTCTCGATTGAAAAAATACATATTTGAATCATTGACACAATGCTGCATGTGTCACATGAAATTACACTGTGTTACATGATGTAATTCAAAACAGTACACATGAACTCCAAATCCAACAGGTGAAACATCAGAATGAAATACTATGTCTTGCTTCTCAGTTTATATACATGGAAGCATCTACAAAAGAGTTAATTGCAATATTTGCATTACTTTTATAGTTTATACTAAGCCAAATGCTATAATCAATGCTGTAATGATTTCAACATTTGCTCCCATAATAAACCTAATACTAATGCCTAGGGCAACTGCTGAATATATAGTAGGTTCTGTGTTTTCTTATACATTAAATCTTATCAGTATCAAACTTGAACTTGAAAGGTCTTATATAACAAGAAATTTTGTTCTATTGAGCCACAGTATACAAAGTAATAAGGAATATTTATGCCTCATTAAATATTGAAGTGAAGTTGAAGCATTTAATCTACTGCAAAACTCATTTAAGGCACACGCACCCTGGAAATATAAGTATTATTGATATTATACTTGAAGGGAACATTTTCATCCAGTGTAACTCATGGAAATTTAATTTCCTTCTTCTGTGAGAATCTGGAATTTGTTAAACTGTGTCCATTTCCAGCACAATTTTCTAATAGTTCATAAAGTGTATTTTCACACATTAGAGAATAATTTGAATGACTTAAATTCCACAGTGACCAATCCATTGCTGTGACAGTACATTTATTATAACAGGTGAAAATCACAAGGAAAAATTAAAAATTGAACAAACAAAGAATCCCTGTTTTGAGTTTACCCTGAAGTTGATTTTGATGCCCATTTTCATGCCACCATCCTGTTTTATATTATGATAGGTTTTGTGTCTAAGTACAAACTGGACGGATCTCAGATCAAATAGAAATCAGCACTTTTTAAACAAATACAGCAATTACATTTTGCAGAAATTAAAAAGAAATAGATGAGCTTAGGATGTTTAGGCTAATTTTGATAGATTTCTTTTCTTTCCTTTTAGCTTCTCTAAGATTTCACTTTGTATCTAAATAAAACGTTAGAATCTGGATACTGAATGCCAAATAGCATGCGGCGGTAGTCTAGTCCTATGGGCTTATCATCAATTATTTCTAAATCAAAATAAGTTAAAAGTATAACCAACAATTGCTTTATTTCCATAATTGCAAAAAATCGGCCTGGACATTTGGTGGTTCCAGTTCCAAATGGCATTAGGTAACACTTCACTTTTTTCCCTCTTTTGAAGAAGGTGGTTTTCTTCTTACCATCTTCTACAAAACGATCATATCTAAACTCCTGTAAAGAAGAATACAGTGTTAAAATGATTAACATTTTACATAAAATAGTTTGAGTTCAAGTCCAAAAAGTTGCTAGCTCTCTTTGTCTGTCTTAGAAAGCTCAGTTTAATCAGGTAAATACCAGAAAAACTTGACTGAATGCAAATAGGTTTGAACTTTAAAAAAAACCAAATACGACTAGGAAATTATTTCCCCCATATCAAAGAGATGTGAAAAGCTGTAAGACATTTTTTCCCCACTCTCATTTCTCTCCTAAGCTGAGTTTCCCAAGTATAGTGGCAATATCTCTATTTTTCCTCCCTCAGGTGGGTCCTGACACATGGGCACTTGATTATACCAATGCTGGGGAGAAGGCAAGGGGTCCAGTGAGACTGCCATTGTTACCCAGGACTGCAGAGTCCTAACTAGCCACAGGAGCTGCCTAACTGTGGATTCCTTATTGAGTTTCTCTTCTCCCTTCCCCGCCAGCTACTGATGGATGAGAACTGTGAGTCAGATATAAAATAACAAGATTCAGGTAAAGCACTAGAGGGGAACTAAGCCACAAAATCAATCTTGTTTGTTTTTTGATGTTGTAGTGAATTTCTTCTATGAAAGTTCTATTAAAATCAGCTCTCTTTGGGTTTACTCTAGCGTGGCAGGCATTTCTGATATGTTTTCATAAACAAGTTATATTATTTTGTTACAGGAAATCATGGGACTGCTTTACTTAGGGTGTTGGAATTGCTATCTTAATTTTGCCTTGCTGCCAAAGGGTTATGGTTCAACTCTCACTTGAGTTTCTTAGAGCGGATGAGTGACCTTATTTTAGCCTATGGTGAATTAAGCCATTGATTAAATTAATGCCTGTGGCTTGCATGAAAATGACCAAGTATTTGGTGTAGTTGGTGCTCATTAGCATTAGACCTGCTCACACACAACTTTGATATGACTACATGAAGTCAAATGCAAAAAAGTAGGTCAGATCCAAAGCATTTCAGGTTAAAGTGAAAACCTTGCAATATGTGGATAGATCCTGAATTCATCACAAATGATTTAATTTTCTCTCTCAAAACCAGTGTTGTTAATGTCAGTGAACCATTTCCTTTAAAAGTATTGGGTTTGTCCTCATTTATGTAGAATACTTATTTTGGTAAGTATTTGAGCTTAGAAAAATTCTGAGTAGTTCCTATTTCCTCTCAAATTGCAAGTGGATGCAAGATCATGGCAAAATTTATCCACACCTTTATAACTGCTCAATTCCTCATAACGAATACCCTGAGTCCTTTAAAACATGTATTTTACCATAGTTCTGGGATGTATCCAAATTGTGTCTAATCAATGCTACATGAACAAGGACTCCCTTTGTTGACATAAATGGTCACTAGAGGTAGAGTGACTAAATGGAACTCTCCTGGTGACCTTCTTCCATTTCTGGAGCTCAGGCCTGCTTGCTTGAGCTTAGTCCTGCTGCTTCCTCCTTCACACCGACCAGACTCAGGAGACTGGCCCTCTGTCCATGAGCTCCCTGCCTAACCCAAATCAGTTTAAGTGAGCTTTGCTATGATACAATTTGTTAGGAAGGTTCTCACTGTAGCTCCACTAGTTAAGCCAGCAAATACGAAATGAAAACAGCTTGGATTCGGACTTTTTATTGTCCTGATACCATAAATAAACCATAAATCACCATGGTTTTCAGATTCCTCTTTGTGAAAATAAATGTGCTGCCCGCTGAGAGGCTTGTGGCCAACACATGATGCAGGATTGCTCCTTACTCATGACCTTCAGCTAGGGTTCATATGCAGTTTCCTCAAACTTCTACTCAACGAGTAATGCCATTCCTCTACTTTCCATCATGTTCTATTCAATTTCCTCATTGTAAACATCTTAGAAATTCCTCTTCGATTGTTTATTTTGTGAAACTAAGGGAAATGGCCACTGTCTTTATCTCTGTGACCACCACCAAGTTCAAAGGGCACAGGAGCATAAATATATTTTTGAGTTAAAATTTATTTGCATTTTGCTTTATTGCCTAGGCATGGAAAACCTAAACAGGAACCAATATTAAGAAGGGCCTGTGTCAGCTGCTAGGGATATAGCTTCGTTGTAGCTGAAAAGGGGAGGGGTACAACAATCTCACCACTGAGATTCTGGGGTCACAGTGACACAGAACAAAGGTTAAGGAAGCTCAAGATATATCCATTCATTTGGAACAACTTAAACTTAGAATTCATCAAGCTGACTGAAATTCTTTACAATGACCATAAGTATGATGCTTCACAATTAAGGGGAGTCAATTAAATGGATGAGAATAGAAAAATCACAAGAGAAGGTTTAAGACATGGGAGTTCCCCACGGTTCCTCTAATGATTGTTGCACTTGACTCCCCAACATTGTTCTTCTGCATAAAATGTGTCTAGGCACTAATCTTGGTAATCTCATTGTTCGAGTCTCTGACTGGTTTGGGACAGAATGTGTGAAACGATCTGTCATTGCTACAAAGGAAAAGTCTATGGGGACCTATGCGGACATCTAGGAGAAATCCTCTTCTTGTGAAGAAAATAAAACAAAAAGAAATGGTTGATTACCTTTCCTTCTCTGGACCTCATCATGTGTGACTATGATATCTGGTTGCTCCCAGGCTAAAGACAGAGCTAACCTACAGGAGATGACAGAGCCAAGAAATCCCAAGAGTTTGGAGCAATCATATTTTCTTATTTATCTCTGTATGTTTAAAGCCTTCAACACAATGCTATTCCCATAGTAGAGGTTCCATATATGTTTGTTGAATTAATGAATAAATACATGAGAATAAAGTATATTTTAAAAACCATTTTCAAGCTTTTGAAGAAAACAAAGATATTGAATGAGTAAATAAATATGTAGAGTATGATGAGTTGATGAATATTCAGTGTTTACAAATAGTAGAAAATTGTATAATATTGAAGCGCTAGAAATCAAGTTTGGATAGAGGACACAATTTTCTGGAGAGAGAAAAGATTTTGGTATTCGTGACAAAGGAAGATTGCATAACACGCTAATTTGTGTTCTCCAAATACTATGTTTAGTACAGTTCAACAGATTTTTTGAAGCACTTCCTGTATGTAAAACACTGAAGTTACAAGGCATAAAACATGGTCTTGCTGAAGTAGGTGACACACAATAGGATCATGTCTTGAATCCACTAAATTCATAATTTTGGGTATGGGAATGCAAATTAGATAAAAGATGTGACTTTCTCATAATGAAAAAGAGAAATGTTTGAATGGGTGGCTAAGGGGTTACACTGTTGCCCCTGGAGGCAAGATGGTAGAGTACAGAGGTCCCTTTTTATTTTCATGACTCCGGTTCAAATCAGCAGTGTGCTGCAGACAGCTTGACCAGCTTGTCAGAGTGTGCACATCTCTTCCCGACTCTGTGTTTAAGCTCTCCACATTGATAACATGAAATTGGCCAAGGGGGTAGTTTATACAATGAAAATAGACAAATACTACAAATCAGGGCTCAGAGTCCTGGTTTACCAGCACACGGCTAGTCCAATATGGTAGTAATGAAGTGTCAATTTATTGGTATGGCAGAAACCTTTTTTCAATAAGAAGCATCTAATGATGATAAATTAGCTATGTGACAGGGCTGAGTCCCTATACTGCAAGCTTGTAGGCAAAGAGGACTTTTTATTTCTCTGTCACTCATTATGCCCATCAAAGTGATTTCTGGGGAATAAATGATTGATATATGTTTGTTTCCTTTAAGTCTACTAGTGGCACAATCTCTATTTCATTTTGTGATATAGATAAAAAATTATCGAGAGTACTTCCTCATCAGTCATGTCATTCTAAGAACAGTGGTAATAATGAAAATAATAATTGGTACCACAATTCTTATAGTGATTTAGAATTTTTTCAAGGACTTTCACATTTATTCATCATTTTATTATCTCTACAACTCTAAGAGGTAGATAGGACAGAATTGTATTAGGTTAAACAAGATCTTTCATCTTTAGAGCTTTTGGGGGATATTCCAAAGGCTTTGGAATTGCATTGTTATTTCACCATGTTTCTTTACCTACATGGTTATAATGGATTACCATCTTAAATGTTTGACCTTTTTCCCCTATAAGCCCCACAGTGTCACCAGGTCTCCCTTTATCCCTCAGCATCTGTGGACCTAGGAAAGCCAGCTAACAGATTTGCTCTTCCCTATTGAGCTTCTTTATAGCTCCAGTTCTGGATCTTGCATTGTGTCAGAAAAGAAATCATCACTATTTACTACTGATTACCTGACAGCCTATTGCATGAATTCTAGCTGATAAAACATGTAAATTTGGGAAAGCCCTGAACCAACTTTAGAAAGCTATCCACTCTCAATTAATAGATTACCTAGCCTTTGTTGGATAGTATTTTTACCTATAGAGAGGACGGGAGAATTAAGAAGGGATTTTTCTCTGTTTGTTCTCTTTTTAAATTTCACTTGGCAATTTGTTTTTCCACATACACAAGAGCCACCTGAATGGCTAACATTACAATAAGCTAAGCCACCAATATTCAGGGAATATTCAGGGAAAGAATAATTCTTTTTTTTTTTTTGAGACGGAGTTTCGCTCTTGTTACCCAGGCTGGAGTGCAATCTCGGCTCACCGCAACCTCTGCCTCCTGGGCTCAGGCAATTCTCCTGCCTCAGCCTCCTGAGTAGCTGGGATTACAGGCACGTGCCACCATGCCCAGCTAATTTTTTGTATTTTTAGTAGAGATGGGGTTTCACCAAGTTGACCAGGGTGGTCTCGATCTCTTGACCTCGTGATCCACCCACCTCGGCTTCTCAAAGTGCTGGGATTACAGGCTTGAGCCACCGCGCCCGGCCAGGGAAAGAATAATTCTTAATATAGAGGTCACACGTTGGTAGCTTATCGGCTCAATTAAGTCCCAAAACACCTTTTATTTATCCCATATTGTATTTTAAACTTCATTTTTCCAAATATTTTAAAATTCCAACCTTCACTCAAAAGTCTATTTTTTCAGGTTCTTTTTAGTAAAAGATTAAAATGACCAAACTATGTGTAAATGCTTGCAAGAGCTGAGGGCTGGTTCGGAAGAAGCCAGTGGTCCTATTTAGCGGTCTCCTGGCATCTCCTTGTGCCATAGTTCTTAACCCTCCCAATAGCATTGTTATATTTATACACAAATCACTTCTTTATTTAATCTATTTAGGCCCAGTACGTATTTGAATGTGTAATATCTGTCCTGATTTAAAATTATAACTGAAGCATATTTTCACTTTCAGTACATTTACCTATCCAAGCATCTCCTTATTTATTCAACTTATGTGTACAACCTCCTGTGAACTTACACTGAGAATACAGAGATGAAAATGATGTGGTCCTTCCTCTTCTGGAGCTTACAGCAGCATATGGGAGCAATGACAAGTAAATAAATAATTGCAAAATACTGTGTGCTATGCCCCACCACAAATGTACACACAGGGGGTAGTTTATACCATGAAAATGGAATGTGAACAATGTAAGCAATGGCAAATTCTTTGAGGAATGAAGCGGAACTCAGGCACACTGTCAACAAAGAGGTGATTAGGTGATTCCTGTTGAGTAATTTGGAGCCTGCTAGGTGCACAAGGAGGGACATTCCAGGAATAGGGAGATGCAGACGCAATAGCCCTCAAGTATGATGGAAGACCATGGCCTGTCTTTGGAATGCCAAATTTTAGAGTCTTTTGGAGCTTGGAAATTCTGAACCCATGCTTTGCTGGGCTGGGAGAATCTATGTTCTGCTGAGGCTCCTGTCTTCTGTCCTCCAAGAATAACTATCCCTTTATCTGCTTCCTTATTTTTTTGGCCTAACATCTACTGCCTCTTATCAACATCTGAGGCCTGGTCTTCTCATTCAAGGTGTGTTGGATATAAAAGGCAGGTAGTGATGAATGTGAGCCTCCTGAACCATGCTTTCAGCAACAAATGGCTGATGGCAGACTTTTCTAGAACTCTCTTCTTTACTGTCAGTATGTGGTGGCTTGGGATGGGCATCTGTTTTATGAGCATCTATAGCATCTACTTATTGCCATATTAAGTTGTTGAGAATCAAAGGAATAATAGGTTTGTCTGACAGTGGTAGTCACTCAGAAAATGTTTACAGAATGAATAAAATCTTTCTAAATTCTATAAAAGTGATTTTGAGCTAGATCACTTTTTCTGTGTCAGGGATTATCAGCATTCCCCAACTAATTTCAAGAAAACAATGGCATGACAATAAATTAGCTAGTTAATTTTAACATTAGTCAGGCATAATTGGCTAATGTTAAATCTAGTAAATAACAGAGAGCGTTCATCAACTGAAGTTAAAGCTACCCTAATGATGCTAAATCAGTATTCACAATATTGAAATTTTGTTCTGCCACAGATGTTGTATAAGGCAAGCCCTACTGATTACTATTTGATTTAATATGTAAAGTTTGGGCATGGCTATTTAGTATTCCAAAAGAAAAAAATATATAAATTAGCATACTTTTGATTTTTAACTTTGAGTTTTAAGTTCCTAAAAGTCTAAATCAAGGTATTTTTCATCAAAGGGTAGGAAATAAGAGGAGTCCAAAGCACAGTGACATAAAGACAGTGGTAATCTGATAAACATTCATTGTTTCTTGATAACACTAATGTTGATTTTACTATCATGACATGAATAGTAAACTTAATGACTAGTGGAATAATCACATAATGGAAATGATAAATTGATGCTAAATAAATTGTACAATTGCAGAATTGTAGGTAAAAATAAAAATTAAAAATATTTTCCAGATATTGGATATTGGGTATTCATTTGCCCGGTTTACTGAATATCTATTTAGGTGTATAATTTTGTTCCTTGATATTTATAAATGTGGAGATAAAGCTTGTTGTTTGCAGAATGTTCTTTCACTTGCTAATACTCTACAATCTATTTGTTATTGTCATTCATACACTGCCCCTCCTCCTGAAACACACAGCAACTGTATTTATGCTCCCCCCACACTTAAGTCATTTGCTTTTGCTGCTGAAATAAATTCGAATTTTCTAATTGTATTTGAATCTGCTCTCTTCTTATTAATTTTCAAAATTCAACAATATTGTAATCCAGCCTGGATGCAAGACATCTACCTTAGAAACTAGATTTAGATGTGGTCCAGCTATGAACTGCTCAAAAAGAGCAGCAAAGCTTCCCTTCGAAAAACAGCATTTTATATACAAAAACCGCTACAGCAACATTACTTCTTGAGAAACACAGGCAGAATAGGACTGCAATCAATTTGCATGCAGGTGGTGAATCTCTGAAGTGGTATTAAGGGATGAACCAGGGTGGATTAATTTCCAGTCTTTGATATTCATTAACTCCAGCTTCAGAAAAAAACACAAGGAGATGACACAATTACCCTCAGAGCTTCACCCGTGAGCAGCAGCTTTACAATCTCAAGTTCATAATGCCATACTAATTGATCAAGAAGGGGCACATACTTTTAATAAGAGGTGAAAAAGTATATGGGCTTAACTACAGCAGTGGTAGTATTCGACTTTGGAACAGTCAACTCCATTTTGGAAACACTTGCTAAAATAGTTATCATCATTTATTCTCTAAGCCACCTGTCAATAGCTAGCCCTCCATGGTTTCCAATAATTCTCCACCAAGCATAATGCAATTTCGGCCAGAACATAATAGTGGCCCGAGTGCAATGTCCATTTCATTTGAAGCGACTAGCATTTAGACTCATGATTGTATTTCTCTTTACAGATCATGAAACCTTTCAAAGATATCCTTAGGGAACACTTCGGTAAGGAGGAAACCTTTCTTATTAGGAGGAAAAACAGAGGCCATAAAGCTGTCTCAATCCCTTCTGGAACAAAGTGGCAAGAGGAAGAGATAGGGGTGGAAGAGAAATGCGCCTGCAGAATCTAAGAAGTAGCAATCATAGGCTTGATGTTTATTTACCTCTGGAGCTTCAAAGATTTCAGGGTCACCATGAAAGATTGGAGGAAAGACGGCTAGCAAGTCTCCTTTTCGCACACGGAAGTCCCCAGTCTCTGCACTGAGAGTCAAATCCTCCTCAACAAAACGAATGGTGGTTGAATATGAGGACAGTCGTAAAGTTTCAAAAATGGTGCTTTCTGAAGGGAAAAAAAACCAAATGATAGCTTTTAAGATAGGGCTTCTCTTGAAACGTGCTCTCAATTTGCAATAAAAGCTCATTACTAATGGCCTTGATTGAAAAGGAAATTGTGTCTTCATCCACCAAGAGGGAGCCAAGTCTGGCTGTGCACGGAGTGTGAGCAGGGGCAGTGGTGTGGCTCCAGCTAGGCTTGGAGGTATTTCACAGGCAGAAGGAAGCAATGTTGTACCTGGGCAGAAAGTCATTAAGATTTTGTAGGCGGGAATGGTCTGGTAGAGAGGAATGCTGTGTTATGGGTATACATGTTTGTAATTAGAACCACATCCCAGTTAAAATACACAGCTGGTAAGTCATTCCACAAACCTTTAGAACTCTGATGCTTTAAAGCCAGGCTTAGCCATTTAATAACCACTTAGGCAGTTAATAGTAAAGTAATTGTAGTAGCACTTTCTGAGACAGCTTAACACTTAATTTCTTTTATGCTAGCTGTAAATAAAATGTGAGTCAACATTTGCTGGAAAAATTTCAAAAGAAAATGCTTTTAGAGGATTCAGAAGAAAACCATATTTTCCTCAGCATCCAGGGAGAATAACAGGCACCATCATATCCTGGAAGATTCCAGAAGCCGAATGTCCTTGCTTTCCCAGTGGCCTTCACCTTTTGCTCCTAGCATGACAGATTTTATGGCTAATTTCCGGCAATTTATCCTGGCAGTTTGAGGAGGAATTCCTTTGGGAATAATATGCATAATTTGCATAAATCATTCTGATAGCATGCATATCAGCGTGTAGCTCCTGTCTAGGTCTGCGTCTCTCTCTTCATAATCAAAACTGACTATGTTTCCACCAGCGTGAATGGGTCCTAGAATATAAAGCTTGATTCTCTCTAATCAGCAATGTGAAAAAAAAAAGGCTCCAAATGGAGTTTTTCCCCCCTCACATGATAACAAATGGTTGTGTTTATGGCTTGCAATTTAGAAATCACACACACACACACACACACACACACACACGGCTCAGTTTCTCAGTGTTCAGCAAAGCTTTGAAACACAGAGTACCCAATTATTAGATTATTAAAGGCAGGCCTATCTGTGAGGACTTTCATCAGCCAAAAATAAAAATAAATGTTATTTCAGTGAAATTTAAATCTATGCACAGGCTGCATAGGGCTATCAAGTAGCTTTGGGTGCTTTCTCCCAGGAGGTTTTTCCTTAAGCATGCATTTGTCTAAAGAAATGAGGCTGCGGTCAGCTTTGTGTGGCCAGTGTGGTGATTCAATGTGACGTACAGTGAGGCTGTGCATATTCTCTTGGACTGCCTTTGTTATTATAATCAGGCAGAGTCAAATCGGTTTGTTAGTGATGAGGCCAGAAAAGAACTTTGGTTTTGGAACATGGGCTCTACTGCAGATAGCCACAAGGCACCTGACACGATGGATTTCAGCTGGCAGGACACCAAGGACCAACATTTCTGTGGTGAAAAGCAAGGGTCGGCCTCCCGTGTACTGCTGCTGGCTCTGTTGGAGCAATAGCACAGCATCGTTTTAGCTTGTGGTGTGAAATGGTAGCTGACATATGTAGCAGTGCTGTTCACCCAACTAGTCCAGTAGGGATGTGGGAAGAAGAAACACAAAAGCAAAATAACTGTGGGGTGGCTGCTGTGACAGGGCAGGCATGTAACAGTCCGAATAACATGGTCACATCTGATTGGCTGATGTACTCTCGGGAAGCATGGCAGCTTGCGCCCACCACAGTATCACAAATGACAATTGGGCAAGCATATCTTATGCAGAAGTTAATCACAATAATGGAGTGCAAAGTGTGGCTTAGCGGTCAGATCGTAAGTGACAAATCTGTTTTACCTTCCAGTACCAGTTATGTGTGCAAGATGAGGTTGGCTCTCACTCTGAGCGATCATGCCGATAATCATTAGACGACAAAAGTAATGAGTTGCGTTATTATCAACAATGGAGAGTAGAGCTTACGTGGCTCTGCAGAATAACACCCAGACACAAAAGCCAGCAGCTTTTCCACCAGCCCCAATATGAATGCAGGCAAAGCTATATGTTGAGAAGAATGACAACTGCACAATAAAAAAATTGCAGCCTCTACTTGTAGTTGTCATAGTTGAGCAGACACCAGCCAGTGCCACTGACAGACCAGCTGGGCCCTGGGAGGACTTCCATGCTGCACCAGGAGGTACAGTAAATTATCCTGCACGGTAGAGCAACATCTGTTTCTGTGCTAGTGCCGAACAAACAAGGCAATTTAAAACATACCAAGGGATAACCAAGCAACAAATGAACATGACCCTCATTTTTTCCCCCTTCTCACACATGAGGTGCTAAACTTCTTTGTGCAAGCACTCCATGAAAGAGAAGCCAGGTTTTTATTTGATAAGGTGTTGTCAGAGAGATTTTACATGTTTCCAAAATGGAAAGAAAAAGCTTATAGTATTGTTATTCTTAGAATCTTCCCCCTTCTATCTTCATTTCTTTTATACCAAAGCTAGCACTCAGTTCTCTATTCGCTCTAGAATTAAAAAAAAAAAAAACTTTCCATATACTTATAAATATTCAGTCTTTAAACCTAATTTGCTATACTTAGTTCACATGCCTTCAAGCATTTGTCTTCCAATTTCCACTGAATAAATGCGTACTAATGAGAACTAGAGCAAGCTGCTGAGGCAAAGCTGGGTGACTTGGGTCTGGCCTGCCACCAGCTTGTGATAGGCGGGCAAATTGAGTTAAAATGAAAAGTCTTGTCAGCTGAAATTCAACATGGTAGCCAAACAGCAAGCTGTCAATCATCCAGCCAAAACAGGGGACTGCAGGTAATAAAAGGTCACTGTGAATCATTAGTACACTTGGCTTTCATATGGAAGTTAGCTTTAATTAAAGATGATCTCTATCTGTAAATGTTTTATAAAACTTATTGTGCATAATGGATTGTTAATTTATACTAACATTTAGCAGGTAATAGTACTCTAATTATTAGAATGCATTGTTGAAAAACGGCCATCAAGAATGCAAGTATTTTGGGAGAAAATTTACAGCAGGCACTGCAAGGTGCCAACAACTGCAACTGTGATTAAGATAAGGCTGCCTGTGAGTTATTAAGAACTGAGTTTACTGGCTGGTATATGCTAGGAAATTGGATTACAAAATCCCCTCTATGAACTCGCAATTCAGAGCATGCACTATGTTCTTCACCTGGCTAGGGAAGGCTTCTTTCTCTTTTCAGGATACAAAACTATTCTGATTAAGTGTCCCTTCTAAGTGAAATATCAGGGAATGTCTTGAGCTAAAATATTTTACAATACAACTGTGAAGGAAAATAACAAACAAAAAAAATATGGTTAAAAAGGCATATACATTTTCTCTTTTGCTCTCAGTTTTCAATTCTGGTTGTAATAAGGGATGGATGGCTCTAATTGGTAGATTTAAGGCACTAAAGCAGCTCATGACAATCAATAATGCATGTTACAATGCAAAACCAAATAAGGACATCCGGGTTTCTGTTACACTTAGGCCCTGTCTGTATATGTGGAATGGATGTACTGTGACATGGCCAGGCTGTTAATTTGGGTCATCTTAATGATTGGTGCAGGCTGGCATGCCATCTGATTAGCCATGGTGATCAGTGGATAGCAGCAATGGATGGAGTGAAATGAACAGCCAGGACCTGCCACAGTGACTGGGGCTAAACAGTGGGCAAGATTAAACAGAAGGTGGCTATAAAAGGGGGAGAAGGGATGGATATGAAGGTGGTGTGCTCTGGAAGGTGTGATGAAATGGAGGGAGGCTCATGATGCGTATGTTTGTGTGTGCGTTTCTACATAACTGTCTTTAAGACAGCTGAGAAGGTAAATAAGAAATTGTGATAATTGTATAATTTGAGGCAAAATCACTAATCCTTAGCTCAACAACTGTATATCTTAAGTAAGGTTAAAAATAAATCTGAATTGGTATAAATGCCTATCTTCATCCTGCATCTTAGACACAGTGTTTGGTTCACTGCTAAAATACAGACATTTAAATTCAGCATTCATATATTCCATAAATGTCTGTTAAGGCCCTACTCTGCTCGGAGCACCGGGCCACTGCAGCTGGTGTGAAGAAGGAACACAGCACACAGACTTGGCCTTCATGGACAATGCAATCTAGGTACTTCAAAGTTGGAAGATACACATAAACAGGAATGCTCACAACAGTCTACTGAAGATATGGCACAATTGCATTTATTTATTTATTTAAAATTGACAAAAATCATATATATTTATGGTGTACAACTTGATGTTTGGAAATATGTATACATTTTGGAATGGTTAAGTCAAATGATGAACATATGCAATTATCTCACATACTGATCAGTTATTTGTGATGAGAACACCTAAAATCTACTCCCTTGGTAATTTGATACTGTACGCTTTCTAATTGGGTAACTCCAATGATGGCATTCAGAAAGCCCATTTTAGTAGAAAGCTATTTTTCATACTGAGGTGAAACTTTCCTCCTTTTAATTTCCACCCTTTATAAAACACACAGGCCAGAAATGTCTAATCATTCTTCCACGTAACAACCCTTTCAAAATATGTAAAGACAACTATCATACCATTTTCTAATTGTGTGTCAGAGAAGATATGGTGTTCAGCCTTTGCCATGCTGGATAAATTTAATTAGTCCATGTACCTCTTAATATTTGGCAGAACTAGGTATGTACTATTTTAGCTGGAAAAGTAGAGAATTATTAATTTCTGTCCCTAGACACCATGCTTCTATTACTATTTTCTGGGAGCAGATGAGCAACAGATTTTTGAAATAATATCACTATTGTTTTAAACTTTCTGATATTCTAGAGATGCCCATTAGAACCACCTGGGATTGTTTAAAAAAATAAATGCCCCATTCCAATCTAATAGAATAGAAACCACTGTATTAACTAAAACCTTTCAATTAGAGGCTTTGAATCTTGGCTGCACATTAGAATCACCTAGGGAG